GAAATGTGTAGTGTCTCCTGCTTGGACTAGATCAGCAGTCGCAACCGGTGGGCCGCAGCCCACTGGTGGGCTGTGAGAAAATTTTGGTGGGCTGCAGAAAATGTTGGTGTTCTCACCCCAATAACACCCCCCCCAAGCAATTAATCCAGGCTGCGCAGAAACACAAGGCTGCACCGCCCACATGGCCCACGGGGACCTTCCCCGCCCCCTCACTCCTTATCCGGCAAACTTGCCTGCTAAATTGCTATTTTTCCTTTTTCCAACCATCATCTGTTCTCTGTGCCGGGAGATTTAAATTAGCTAGGAAGCAGAAAATGGTTGGATTTCTTGCTTTCTAGCTAGTCCTTAGATCTTCGGCTCTGCTTTTAAGTGCAGCTAAACCTTCCTTAGGACTGAAGTTTTGCTTGCAAGCAAATTCAGTGCAGACTCACGGCAAGCAAATTTGAAAGACTGAGCTAGCTGATGGCAGATAGATAGATCATTGAATGATTCTGTGAGCAACTCAGTCTGCCTGCTTTGCCTGATTTTGGGTAAAAGTTGCTCTTTTTTAATAAAAATATCAATACTTATATAAATATTTATAATATTTACATACAAGCCATGCCCAGCCAGTCACATGACCACCAAGCCACACCCACAAATTAAGCCACGCCCACAGAACCGGTCAGTGGTCCCTGGGATCTAAAATTATGAGTTTGGTGGTCCCTGAGGTCCAAAAGGTTGGAAGCCCCTGGACTAGATGACCTACAAGGTCCCTTCCAACTGTTAATCTACACTGCTCAAAAAAATAAAGGGAACACAAAAATAAGACATCTTAGATCTGAATGAATGAAATATTTTTATTAAATACTTTGTTCATTACATAGTTGAATGTGCTGACAACACAATCACACAAAAATTATCAGTGGAAATCCAATTTAGCAACCTATGGAGGTCTGGATTTGGAGTTACACTCAAAATTAAAGTGGAAAAAAACACTACAGGCTGATCCAACTTTGATGTCATGTCCTTAAAACAAGTCAAAATGAGGCTCAGTAGTATGTGTGGCCTCCATGTGCCTGTATGACCTCCCTACAATGCTGGGCATGCTCCTGATGAGGTGGCGGATGGTCTCCTGAGGGATCTCCTCCCACACCTGGACTAAAGTATCCCCCAACTCCTGGACAGTCTGTGGTGCAAAGTGGCGTTGGTGGATGGAGCGAGACGTTGGGCCCTCATACCACCCACATTTAGTCTGTTTCTGACCTTTTGAGGAGCCACACGCACATTTGTGGCCCGCTGGAGGTCATTTTGCAGGGCTCTGGCAGTGCTCCTCATGTCCCTCCTTGCACAAAGGCGGAGGTAGCGGTCCTGATGCTGGGTTGTTGCCTTCCTACGGCCTCCTCCACATCTCCCGATGTACTGGCCTGTCTCCTGGTAGCACCTCCATGCTCTGGACACTACGCTGACAGACACAGCAAACCTTCTTGCCACAGCTCGCATTGATGTGCCATCCTGGATGAGCTGCACTACCTGAGCCGCTTGTGTGGGTTGTAGACTCCGTCTCATGCTACCACTAGAGTGACAGCACTGCCAGCATTCAAGAGTGACCAAACCATCAGCCAGAAAGCGTAGGACCTGAGAAGTGGTCTGTGGTCACCACTTGCAGAACCACTCCTTTCTTGGGGATGTCTTGCTAACTGCCTCTGCTTTCCACCTGTTGTCTATTCCATTTGCACAACAGCATGTGAAATTGATTGTCAATCAGTGTTGCTACCTAAGTGGACAGTTTGATTTCACAGAAGTGTGATTGACTTGGAGTTACCTTGTGTCGTTTAAGTGTTCCCTTTATTTGTTTGAGCAGCGTATATAATCAGTTACTGTTTTTGATCCAAGTCTCTTCTAATCTGTACGTCTACCTTTGATTTTTTTTCCTGCCTAAATGGCTGCACTGGGCCTGGGAATTTTGAGAGTGAAAGAAAGTCCACCTATATTGAAGTTGCAAAGTTTGACAAAAGTTGCTTTGACTCCTACAATCCCCTTATAAAATGCCTTGCGGTTGAATTCTAAGCCTTCTACTGCTGATCCCGGAAAAGGTTAATTCCATTATCAGGCATGGAACAGAAAGTGATTAATTACAGATGTAAATGGTTCAAGGCAGATCCAGGATCCTTTGGCAATCCACAAAGCCTCTCTTTTTTTTTTCCTCTCTCCTTTTCTTAACAGGTATCAAGTACCAAACTCCACTGGTTCCTTTCTTCTTCCGAAGCACCAGCGTAAGTTTTCACTTTGGTCAGGTTACAGATAGTTCTCGACTTAACTTACGACTACAGTTGAGCCCAAAATTTCTGTTGCTGGTTGTTCAGTGAATTTTGCAACTTTATGAGCTTCCTTGCTACCGTTGTGAAGTGGATCACGGTAGCTGTTAAGTCACTGTTGTGGCCCGCCAGATTCGGACAGTGAGGAGGTTGGGGAGGAACACGGGCCAGTCCTGGAGTCGGGGGAAGGCTCTGACGACGGCTCTGCGTCGGAGGCAGAGATGGGGCCAGTGTCGTCCGACAGTTATCAGCTGTCTTCAGAGTCAGAGATCAGTGGGGAGGAAGAACAGCTGGAGCCTGTTTCGACTACGCACACGCACAGAGCTGCCAGACGAAGGGAACAGCTGAGGAACAAGGGTTGACTTGGGAGTAAAGGCTCAGGTGGACGGTGAATGGCCCCTCCCATAGGGAATAAAGAGAAGCGAAAGGGGAGGGGGGTTTGCAGGAGACAATTGGTTCATTTGGGTGAAGATCTGTTCCTGCATCCTTGCCAAGTATTGCCTGCTACAGTGTGGTGTCTGAAAGATTACGGCCTGGCAACTCTCCAAGTCTGACAAAGGTCTGTAACTGTGAAATACCTTGAAAGACTGTTTGCTGGGACTAGGTTGGGACATGGAAGTTGCCTTTGGGAGTCGTGGGACCTTCATCACTGGAGGTTTTTAAGAAGAGACTGGACATTCACTTATCTAAAATAGTGTAGGGTCTCCTGCTTGGGTGGACTAGATGACCTTGCGGGGGTCCCTTCCAATTCTATTAACCTGTTTTCAAATGAAATATATATCTCCCCATATATACATGTTTCGTTTTTATACTTCCGACTCGGTTATTCTGTTATTGCTCTGTTATTCAGAAGTTGTGGGAGCTTCCTAACTGGAAGCTTTCAAGGAGATGCTAAACTGCCCTCTGTCAGAAATGGTGTAGGGTCTGCTTGGCTGGGGGTGGGGCTGGGGGTTGGACTAGATGACCTACAAGGTCCCTTCTGACTCTGTTAATCTGTGTGTATTTTGATCTGTACGACCCGAATCCGGACCCTGCACGAGCAACTGGGCCTGTCTGTCCCCTTGTCTTTCAGAAGGACACCATCGCTTTTGGGAACACGCCCGACTCCCAGGAGGCGCGGAGACCGTCCGAGGAGGTTCAGGTGTACCCCGAAGGCAGGAGAAGCCTCCAGTCCAACGTAAGTCCTGGCTGGAATGGAGAGATCTTTCCTCCATGCAGCTATGACCAGAATCTAACAGGTGAAGCTGCGTGTGGTCGCCTGAGAGCGAATTGGGCGCTGAATAAAATCTAATGACTAAAATAAGTACAATAAATCCCCAAAGTGGGGCTTGAAACATCTAACCTCTTAAGGGATGGAGTTCTTGAGTCACAACTCAATCTTAGCAACTTTTTTTTCTCGTGGTCGTTAAGCAAATCCAGCTTCCCCCATTGCTTGTCAGCAGCCCCCTGGGAAGGTTGCAGGGGGTGACCTGGGAAGCTGCAATTCCGACGACATGACCGACCCTGAGGATGCTACAATGGTCATAAGTGTGAATAAGGGTCATGGTTCTCTTTTTTCACTGCCTTATTGTAGTAATGAGCAGCTTTGGTCATTAAACAAAATGGTTGTAAGTCAAGGACTACCTGTAATGGGGACTGTCTTTTCCTTCCTTCCTTCCTTCCTTCCTTCCTTTTCCTTCATTCTTCTCTTCCGTCCTACATTCTTGCTCTCTTTTCTTCCTCCCTCCCTCCCTCCTTCTTTCCTTCTTCCTTTTCCTTCATTCTTTTCTTCTGTCCTACATTCTTGCTCTCCTTTCTTCTCCCTCCCTCCCTCCTTCTTTCCTTCCTTCCTTCCTTCTTTCCTTTTTCTTCATTCTTCTCTTCCGTCCTACATTCTTGCTCTTCTTTCTTCTCCCTCCCTCCCTCTGTCCCTTCTTCCTTCCTTCCTTCCTTCCTTCCTTCCTTCCTTCCTTCCTTCCTTCCTTCCTTCCTTCCTTCCTTCCTTCTTTCCTTTTTCTTCATTCTTCTCTCCCTCCCTGTCTTCCTCCATTCTTATTCTCCTTCCTTCCTTCCTTCTTTCCCTCCTTCCTATTCCTTCATTCTTCTCTTCCGGCCTACATTCTTGCTCTCCTTTCTTCTCCCTCCCTCCCTCCCTCCTTCTTTCCTTCCTTTCCTTTTTCTTCATTATGCTCTCCTTCCACCATTCTTGTTCTCCTTTCTTCTCTCTCCTTCCTTCCCTTCTTCCATCCTTCATTCTTGCTCCCCTTTTTTCCTCCATCCCTCCTTCTTTCCTTCCTTCCTTCCTTTTCCTTCATTCTTTTCCTCCATCCTACATTCTTGCTCTCCTTTTTTCTCCCTCCCTCCGTCCTTCTTTCCTTCCTTCCTACCTTCCTTTCCTTTTCCTTCATTATTCTTCCCCCGCCTTCCTTCTCCTATTCTTGTTATCTTTCCTTCCTTCCTTCCTTCCTTCCCTCCCTCCCTGCAGAAGTTGTGGCTGCTCCATCACTGGAGATTTTCATGAAGAAACTGCACAGCCACCCTGTGTGAAATGGTCTAGGGTCTCCTGCTTGAGCAGGGGGTTGGACTAGAAGACCTCTAAGGCCCCTTCCATTGTGTTATTCTATATGCTATATTCCTCTTATTTTCTCTGCCAATTCTTAAATTCTCACTTCAGGATATACAATAAAAACTGAACTCAAAAGCACAGATAGAAATGGAAAAAAAAATTGTTTTCTTCCCAGCCTCTTTTCTTCACTCTCTCTCCCCAGCTGGCATAGCTTAATAAATAATTGGGCAAAACCATTTACTAATATATATATATTATCTAGCAAAGGACCGATAACATGTTGGTTGGGTCCAGATGTGGCCAGAGGACCCCGGGGAGAGATTCAAGATGGTCAAACCACAGAAACCAGGTGGCAGCTGTAAAACAGGCATAGAAATGTTTGATGAGATGACAATCGGCTTCAGTGCAGGTCATGCCAACCTGTTCTCTCCTAATAAATCCATTGAAGTTTTTGAAGTTTGTCTCGAGGCTCATGGTTTAAGGAGGGCAACTGCCGGAATCCTGGCACCAGGTTAGCGTGAAGTATTTCAATCTCGCTTTTCTGCTCCTCCTAACTTCTCATTCTTTCTTGTTTTTCCCATACAGGCAGGAGCCCTGCTTGCCGAGAGCGGCCATTCTGCATCCCTCAAGGTGAAGACTTAAAACCGCGAAAGTTTAAAATTTAAAAGCCCGTTGCCCTTTTTTTTCTGCAAAGAAAAGACAGGCGTGAGAGGGTTCTTTGCAAACTCTCTCCCCGTTGTGTTTTCCCAGCCCAAAACGCACAGCTTCAAAACCCACAGCTTCTCGGCCCCCACCAAGTGCATGCGCTGCACATCGCTGATGGTCGGGCTGGTCCGGCAAGGCCTGGCTTGTGAGGGTGAGTAGCATTTTGTCAGGCACAATATATGGGGGGGGGGGGGCAAGGAAATGGGGCCAGGTTGGGAAAGACTCCTGCCTGGAGTTCCAGAGGCCCCCAAAACTGAGACCAAAGCTCTATAATGGGAATCGTGTCTGACACGTTTTCATTTTGGTGCATGAGGACTAGAAACTTAACTTGATTGCAGGAGAACAGACCATAGCTCAATTAAAAGTCAGGGGAACGATTGCTCCAGTTGGTTCTTCACCTACACCTTAGCTTATGATGTACATCAAAAGGTTTGGGGCAATCTCATCCAACGTGATGGTTGTCTGGGGGATTCTGGGAGTTGAAGTCCACACATCTTAAAGGGCCGTTTCAACAAATACATTGGCTGGCTGGGGAATTCTGGGAGTTGAAGTCCACGTATCTTAAAGTTCGTGAGGTTGAAAAAAACACAGGTTGGAAAAGGGGCTACCAGCCTCCCCCTTATTTTTGGCCACTCTAGGACAACTCCGCTCTTGTCCTGCAAGGGCTAAGAAATCTAAACACGCCAAAGGAAATAATTTCTCTCACTTTTTCGCCCTTCTTCTTCAGCCTGCAACTTCGTCTGCCATGTTTCCTGTGCGTCTGGAGCCTCCACCTGCCCCATGTCCCCGGAGCAGCTGCAGAAAACCCTGGGGGTGAATCCGGTGAATGGAACTGGCACCGCCTTCGAGGGGTATTTGTCGGTAAGAAACTTTTAAATCCCAGGGACCGCTAATATGAATTTTGACTGATGGTGGCCTGCTGACATTGGTGGGAGAGAGAGAGAGAGAGAGAGATGATCTAACCTCTCTCCCTCCCTCCCTCTCTCTCTCTCTCTCACACACACACACAAACACACAGAGGCAGGAGTGGGATTCAGATTTCTTAACAACCGGTTCTGTGGGCATGGCCTAATTTGTGGGTGTGGCTTGGTGGTCATGTGACTGGCTGGGCATGGCTTGTATGTAAATATTATAAATATTTATGTCAATATTGAATTTTTTATATGAAGAAAGAGCAACTTTTACCCAAAAGCAGGCAGGCAGATTGAATTGCTCACAGAATCACAGATTCATTCAGAGATTTATCTTTCTGCTATCAGCTACCTGAGTCTGTCACACAAAATTTGCTAGCAAGCAAACTCACAAAATTAACCCACAACACACCATGTATGTAAATATTGAATTTTCTCTGCAGACCACCAAAATTTTCTTGTGGACCACCAGTGGGCCACGGCCCACTGGTTGGTGACCACCGGATTGGGAGACCTCCAAGGGCCCTTATTATTCTACGTTCCGTGTTCTAAGTGGGTCTCCTGCTCTGCTGGAATGAAAATATTTCCTGGACTTGCACCTACTACTCTCGGGAAAACCAATTTGCCTGTTTCTCTTCTTATCCAAAGGTGCCCAAGCCCTCCGGGGTGAGGAAGGGCTGGCAGAAGGCCTTCGTGGTCATCAGTGACTTCAAGATTTTCCTCTTCGACGCCTCCGAAGGGAAGATCTCACAGGGTGTCATGCATGTCACAGATATGCGGTGAGTATATCCATGATGGGGAATTCTGGGAGTTGAAGTCCACAGACTAGAACACTAGGACATACTTAACAAACTGAAATTCAACGTAGAGAAAAGTAAAGTCTTATACTTAGGCAAGAAATACCAAAAGGACACATATAGACTGGGTGAAACCAGGCTTAGTAGCAGTAATTGCGAGGGGGATCTTGGATTTTTAGGGGACAACCAGTTAAATGTGAGCCAGCCATGTGCAGCAGCAGCCAAAAAAGCCAATGCAATCCTAAGTTGCATTAACAGAGGGACACAATCAAGATCAAGAGAGGTTCTAATACCGCTCTAGAAAGCCTTAGTAAGACCACACTTAAGAGTACTGCATCCAGTTTTGGTCGCCACACTATAAAAAAAAGGTTAAGACTTTAGAAAGAGTGCAGAGAAGAGCAACCAGGATGATGAGGGGACTGAAGGCTAAAACGTTGCAGGAACTGGGCCTGGTTAGTCTTGGGAAGAGAAGGACCAGGGGATACAGGAGAGCATCTTCCAATATTTGAGGGGCTGCCCCAGAGAGGAGAGGGTCAAACTATTTTCCAAGGCACCCAAAGGCCAGACAAGGAATAATGGATGGAAACTAAACAAGGAGAAATTCAACCTGGAAATAAGGAGGAATTTCCTAACAGGGAGAACAATCAACCCATGGAACAGAAGTTGCCTTCGGAAGTTGTGGAAGCTTTCAAGAAGAGACTAGGCTGCCATTTGTCAGAAATGGTGTAGGGTCTCCTGTTTGGACTAGATGACCTACAAGGTCCTTTTGAACTCTGGTTATCTGTTATCACCCCTCTTAAAGCATGCTGGCTGGGGAATTTTGGGAGTTGAAACCCACACATCTTCAAGTTGCCAAGGTTGAGAAGCTCTGGGTTAGATTTTTGGCTGCCTTGTTAGATATCTTGGGCAAACCCAGTGGTGATTCGTAGAGTGGCTGAGTGGAATGTTGAGGCTTGGGTCAAATTGGTAGGCCAGATTAGACTCCTGGGATGGAAGTTCCCAACCTCTATGATATAGCACTTAGCCGTTTTCTCTTTCCACTTCGATGTTGAGACTCTAGAAAGAGTGCAGAGAAGAACAACAAAGATTATTAGGGGCCTGGAAGCTAAAACATATGAAGAACAGTTGCAGGAATTAGTAACGGCTATTCGAATGGAAAGAAGGACTCGGGGGGACGTGATAGCAGTCTTCCGGTATTTGAGGGGCTGTTATAGAGGAGAGGGGTCCAGCTATTCTCCAAAGCAGGGATCGCCAATCTTTTGGATTCAGGGACCACCAACTCATAATTTTAAATCCCAGGGACCACTAATATGAATTTTGACTGGTGGTGACTTGCTGACATTGGTGGGAGAGAGAGAGAGAGAGATCTGATCAAACCTCTTTCTCCCTCTCTCTCTGTCTCTCTCTCTCTCACACACACACACACACAGAGGCAGGGGTGGGATTCAAATATCTTAACTGGTTCTGTGGGCGTGGCCTAATTTGTGGGTGTGGCTTGATGGGCATGTAACCGGCTGGGTATGGCTTGTATGTAAATAGTATAAATATTTATGTAAACGTTGAATTTTTTATAAAAAGAGAGCAACTTTTACCCAAAATCAGGCAAAGCAGGCAGACAGATTGAGTTGCTCACAGAATCACAGATTCGCTCAGAGATCTATCTTTCTGCCATTGGCTACCTGAGTCTGTTACATAAAATTTGTTAGCAAGCAAACTCACAAAATTAACACACAACACCCCATGTATGTAAATATTCAATTTTCTCTGCGGACCACCAAAATTTTCTCTGCGGACCACCAAAATTTTCTCTGTGGACCACCAAAATTTTCTCTGCGGACCACCAATAGGCTGCGACCCACCGGTTGGCGACCACTGCTCCAAAGCACTAACGGCAGGATCAGAAACAATGGATGGGAACCAACCTAGCACTAAGCACAAATTTTCTAACAGTGGGAACAATTTATTAGTGAAATGACTTATCTTAAGAAGTCTCCCTCACTAGAGGTTTTCAAGAAGAGGCTGGACAGCCATTTGTCCAAAATGGTACAAGTTCTCCTGCTTGAGCAAGGGGTTGGACTAGAAGACCTCCAAGGTCCCTTTCCAACTCTATTATTCTGTTATTCTTAGTCACTCCCCAAGAGGAACTGGGTTGAATTTTTTTTCTCACTCGTTTTTTATCCCGGCGACAGGGATGAGCAGTTTTCCGTGGCTCCTGTCCTCGCCTCCGATGTCATCCATGCTAACAATAAAGATGTGCCTTGTATCTTCCGGGTAAGAACCAGAAGGGGGCGAGGGAAGCCCAGAATGGGAATCGCTTTGTCCGGTGCTCTCCTAACCCAATGGGGGCCTTGCTGATGGTTCGATTTGTGGTTAGTGCAGGACCTCAGAGCCATGAACTGTTGAGTGGCCAGCGAGGGTCTCCCAGCTCACTTGCCTTAAAGACAGCAAGGATCCTAAACTGAGGTTTGTCCATGTGGGGCAGTTGCTGAGTCCCCTCTCATCTTTTTAGAGTTGGCAACAAAAAGGGAGGGGGGAGCAGTGTGGCAGTTTGCAAACCGAAACAGCATTCCATAAATGTTTTCAAAGATAGTAACTAGGGGACCGAAGTTTCTGCCAAGCAAAATTCTAACTGGAGAGCCTGATGGATGACTCTGGGCTATGGAGGTGTCCCATTGGAGGATATGAATCATGATACACCCAGGGGGGTGGGGGAAAACCAGGGTCAAAGGTGACAGTGAATGGTGTGTGTCTCAGAGTCAGCTGCACCCAGGCAGTGCTGGCATGTTAATTCCCAATAAATCCTTTTGAAGTTTTGGAAGTTTGGCTCGAGACTCATGATTTAAATAGGGGGTAACTGCCGGAATCCAGACAGAGAGGAGAGCAAAGGAAAGCAATAAGCCAGCTCTCAAGGAGAGGGAGACGTAGACAATAGCCAGCCCCTCCCTGGCCTGGAAATAAATAGGAGGGGATTGGGAGCAGCCAGTTGTCACAGACAACCGTTCATTTCTAGTATACAAGCAATTCGGATTTCTTGGATAAACTCAGGTTTCTTGGGACGAAATTACATTTGATTTTTTGTTTATCCCTGTGAATAAAAAGACTGTTACTGCCCTGTTATTAAAAAGCGGGGGTTTGTTTTACTCATGAGTAAATGTCTTATCACTATTTGTGAAAGCTGAGTCAGAACAAAATCGAACTTTGATTCTTTTCCACCACAACCCAAAGTCCAGAAGCGGCCCCGGCTGCTTTTAAGATGCGTCCGTGTTAAAAAGCATGGCTCAGTGGCTAAGACGCTGTGCTTGTTGATCAGAAAGGTCAGCAGTTCGGCGGTTCGAATCCCTAGCACCGCGTCATGGAGTGAGCTTCCGTTAACTTGTCCCAGCTTCTGCCAACCTAGAAGTTCAAAAGCACATTAAAAATGCAAGTGGAAAATTAGGGACCACTTTGGTGGGAAGGGAAGAGCGTTTCATGCGCTTTCAGCGTTTAGTCCTGCCAGCCACATGACCAGGGAGACGGACAGTGCTGGCTCTTCGGCTTTGTAACGGAGAGGAACGCTGCCCCCTAGAGCCAGAAATGACCAGCACGGATGTGCGAGGGGAACCTTTACCTTTGACCTTAGATTTGTCTGAGTTCCTGCATGCGATCCGGCTCCTTCTCCCTTGCCGCGTCCAGCTTGGGGAGTTGCCGGGCGATGGCTGGCGTCCTGCTCGCTCACCTCATTTTTTCCATAGGTGACGTCCACCCAGCTCTCCTGCCCTCCCACCACCAGCTCCATGCTCTTCCTGGCCGACAGCGAGGCCGAGATGCGGAGGTGGACGCAGGTGCTGAGTGAACTGCAGCAGCTGCTGCGGCAGAACCAGCACTGCAACCGCTCAGTCTACGTGCTGAAGGAGGCCTACGACAACGGGCTGCCCTTCATCCCCCATGCCCTTTCGGCTGCAATCCTAGGTGCTGCCTGAAATTACGGTTCTAGGGGTTGGAGTGGGTGGGTCTGGTTTCCGCACACACACACACACACACCCCAGTGCATTGTCTCTGGAGCAAGGGCCATGGCCTTGATTTGGGATGGAGCGCATGAGGGGTCTCCAACCTTCCCAGCTTTATGGATGAATGTGGGAGGTGGGGAGAGAGACGGGATGGTTCTGTGCAAGCGGTGGGCATGTGCACTCTTGTGCATGGCCCCATTTATACAAATAGGCGCACACGAGTGCCACTTGCGCAAACGGAGCTTCCCACCCAAACATGAGCGCGTGGCACACATGCAAACGGAGCTTCCCACCCAAACATGAGCGCGTGGCACACATGCCAACGGAGCTTCCCATGCTCACCCGCCACTTGTGTGGACTGGTTACAAACTGGCCCCAGTGCAGTACCACAGCCACCCCTGGACTACACTAATTGTGATGCTGTGTGTTGTTTTTTATTTTTGCAGACCGAGAACGACTCACTCTGGGTACAGATTACGGACTTTTCCTTGTTAATCTCAGGACAAATGGTGAGCAATCCAGTTGGTCCCAACTGATCTCAGCTATTTCTCTCTCTCTCTCTCTCTCTCTTTCTCTTTCTCTCTTTTTCTTTTTCGTTCTCTTTCTCTCTTTTCTCTTTCTCTTTTTTTCTTTCTTGTACTCTCTTTCTCTTTCTCTGTTTTTCTCTTTCTTTCTCTCTCTTTCTTTCTCTGTTTCTCTTTCTTTTTCTCTCTCTTTCTCTTTCTCTCTTTTCTCTCTTTTTTTTCTCTCTCTCTCTTTTTCTCTCTTCCTCTTTTTCTCTCTTTTTCTCTTTCTCTCCCTCTTTCTCTTTCTCCCTGTCTTTCTGTCACTGTCTCTTTTTCTCTCTGTGTGTATCTTTTCTTTTTTGCCTCCGTTGTGCTCCTAAGTCAAGGACTACCTGTATTTGCATTTGTGTCTGAAACTGGCGTGTTGTGCAAAGCTAGAAGCTCAGTTGATTTGGGAAGCCAGATAAATGGTCCCACGTATTTTTAAAGCAACAAGATACAGGTTGTCCTTGATTTACAGCATTGGGCTGAAAATTTATATTGCTAAGCGGGACGGTTGTTAACTGAATTTTGCCCCATTATACGTTCTTTCTTACCACAGTGGTTAAGGGAATAACTGCAGTTGTTAAGTTGTTAAGTTAAAAGCCAATGCAATCCTAAACTGCATTAACAGAGGGATACAATCGAGATCAGGGGAGGTACTAATACCACTCTGTAAAGTCTTAGTAAGGCCACACCTAGAGTCCTGCATCCAGTTTCGGTCACCACACTATAAAAAAGATGTTGAGACTCTAGAAAAAAGTACAGAGAAGAGCAACCAAGATGATTTTAGGGGACTGGAGACTCAAACATATGAAGAACGGTTACAGGAACTGGGCCTGGCTAGTCTAGGGAAGAGAAGGACCAGGGGAGACAGGAGAGCAGCCTTCCAATATTTGAGGGGCTGCCCCAGAGAGGAGGAGGAAGAGGGTCAAGCTATTCTCTAAAGCCCCCGAAGGCCAAAGAAGGAATAATGGATGGAAACTGATCAAGGAGAGATTCAACCTGGAAATAAGGAGGAATTTTCTGACAGGGAGAACAATCAACCCATGAAACGGAAGTTGCCTTCAGAGGTTGTGGGAGCTTCATCCCTGGAGGCTGTTAAGAAGGGACTGGACTGCCATCTCTCAGAAATGGTGTAGGGTCACATGCTTGGGTGGGGGGTTGGACTAGATGACCTACAAGGTCCCTTCTAAATCTGTTAATCTGTTAGTAATATGGGTTGTTTAGTGAATCTGACTTGCCCGTTGACTTTGCTGGTCAGAAGGTCCTAAAAGTCGATCACGTAACCCCCCGGGACACTGTAAACCATCATAAATATGAGTCAGTTGCCAAGTGGCTGAATTTTGACCATGGGAAAGCTGCAACGGTCATAAGTGTGGGAAAAAAGCTCCTCCATCGCATTTTTTCAGTGCCATTGTAATTTTGCCCACCAAATGGATGACGGTAACTCAAGGACTAGCTGTATTTCTTTCCTAAGGTTCACACCACAATTTCCCCGCTCTCGATTTCCCGCCGTTGTGCCTAGACGGCATTGGGGTGGCTGCAGCTGACCGCTTGTCTCCCCTCCAGATGTGCTGCGGGTGGGCGACTGCCGGCGGGTGCAGCTGCTGCTGGTCTCCCCTGAAGCTCAGCTGCTCTCTGTGCTCTGCGGCAAGAACCACGGACTCCGCGTCTTCTCGTGGGCGGAGCTGGAGACTCCCGAGGCGCCGGGGACCAAAGTGCTGGAGGCCAAAGGCTGCCAGGCGGTGGCCGTGGGGCTGATCTGCCGCGGCACGACCCCTGTGCTCTGTGTGGCCTGCAAACGCCAGGTCCTGTGCTTCCAGATGGCTGCCACGCACCCGCCCCACCGCCGTATCAAGGAGATCCAAGCGCCGGGATACGTCCAGTGCCTGGACGTGTTGGGTGACCGCCTCTGCGTGGGCTACCCGTCCGGCTTCTCCCTCTACCCTCTGCTCAATGAAGGGTCCCCTGTCAGCCTTCCCCACACAGACGACATCCGGGCATCCGCCGTGGCCCAGATGGAAGCGCTAAAAGCCGTGGAGGTCAGCCTGAGCGAGTTCATCTTGTGCTTCAGCGGATTCGGCCTTTATGTGGACGCGCACGGCTACCGGAGCCGGGCCCAGGAGCTGATGTGGCCAGCTGCTCCTCTCAGCTGCTGTGAGTCGCGGATTTGGAGAGGGGGGAGGGCTTTGGTTGGGGATGATGGTTGCTATGGTTCTTCCCTTCTGTACATGCCAGTGGGCTCTGTCAGGGTTCCAAGTAACACACCCATAGAGCAAACAGAACTTCTGAGGCAAGCCGTATCCTCAAAGAACAAGTTTCATTCATGCAGGAGGTTTGGGGGGGCTCACGGGCCAGGCAGGCAGTGAACAGGTTGTCGCTGAGTCCATCTTTGAACCAACAGACTAGGATATCTTCTGGCCAGTCGACTCGGCCGGCCAGATCACAACATTCCTCGGTGTATTCAGCTACCGGGTAGCAGCCTTGCTTTACAAGTCTAATGCGGTCGCGGGCTTTTCTTTCGGTGAGGGGGTCTTTGAAGCGGTGGCGTAGGGCTGTCATGAATCGATCGAGGTTCCTCAGTCCTGGGGCGCTAACGTTGTGGAGGGTCACCATCAATCTGGCTCCCGCCCCTTCCAGGCCCAGGGTGACGACTCGCACTCGGGCCCCCTGGCTGGGGAAATTCCGCCCGTATTCTTCTTGCATGTAGGGGAGGACTTGGGCCAGGAATAATCCCAGTTTCTGGGGGTCCCCATCGAATTTTACCCCCAAGGGCGGGACCTTTCTCTGCAGTTGTATGTCTCTGGGTTGCCCAGGGTTAATCCCCTGCTCTGGAGCGGCAAGGGGTCGGGTACCTGGTATGGCTGCTGGTCCTCCAGTTTGTTCCATTGCTCGATCATCCTCAGCTGGATCAGGGGTGACGGCTCGGGTTCTCTCAATTCCTGATTCACTCGCTCTCCTTCGTCGGAGACCTGGTTCATCCCGCACATTGAGGCCCTCCAAGGCTTCCCTCGTGAGGCGATTTATGTACCGTTTCAGTCGATCATCTGCCAGTGGTTCCTCGACCCCTTCTTCCTGATCACAAAGGGCCTCCCGCTCCATTTTCCACCTGGGTTGACGGTTTCCCCGGGTGAGCGTTACTCCCTTGGTTCTTCCATCCCAGCTGTCTCTTTCCTACGCCTATAGACCACTTCTTTTCAATAAAGAATTCCTTTTGAAGTACCTAGCTTTCAGAAGTTCATTCTTATCAGTTGAAAGGGAAAAGTCCGGTGCTTACATAAAGCAGAATCTGCAATAGAGGTCAACCCGGAGAGGAATTTCTTTTTGCTTTGAAAAGAACTTCACTCTATTGAGGGGACCCTGCAAAAATGTTTGAATATAGCAAAGGAGCAAGGGGAAGCCGAAGGCTGCGGAGAAACTTCGACAACTACCCAGCCAGACACTGACTTTGTGTGAGATCGGAGCTGCCATCTCTCTATAAATACTGGTGGGGGGGGGGGGGGGGGGGGTGGTGTGTGCTGGTTGGCTGCCCTGCTGCCTCTTGATTGGTTGATGGAGCTGATGTTGGTATAATGGGCTGTGTGATGGCCTTGTGAGTATTGTTGTGGAGATCTCCTGGATC